AAGACATCAATCTTCCCCCATATGTATTTTAAACACTGTTCTTAAATGCTTTTCATGTATCAAGTCAGCCAGACAACCCAATGATAATGGTACCATTACACCACCACTTGACAGATAAGAGAACAAAGACACAGAGAAGTTAAGGAACTAAGTCACACAGCTAGGAGATAACTTGATTTAATAGTATATTGAATGAATTATCTAATGTTACGCATTTACCTACCAATTTAAGTCTAGTTTCATGGATTCTGGAAGAGACATCTAATTCAAACCTATTTATAAAATCTGCCAACCGAAGGAACAGAAGCCACAGCAATACAATAAAAACTAGAAAGACTTCAGATGGCTACAGATCTGCTCTGACAACTAGCAGGGCTTCAGGTGACTACACTCTGCCCTAACATATAGATATTGCATTTTTCTCAAAGAGAACAGATCTTCCCTTCCTCAGTTCCTGTTTTAAGTATGAAACCCAGTGAGAGTATGTAAGTTCTGGAAATTAATTCAGTGGCATTTTTAGCTTCCAAAGGAAGGTTGGGCAATCCTACTTCTGTAGTGATACTGCCTCAGAAACCCAAGGAGGGGTCGCTATGAGTTGGAGCCGACTCGATGGCAAACAACAACAACAACAAAACAACAATGGGTAATGTCAGCATTTCTGCAGGGTGGCTGCCTTAGAAATGACCTCAAGAGAAATAAAAAGAATATTATCTTTCTGTCTTCTATACTACCTGACATAAGGCTGGACACAGAAAAAATTCTACATTATATTGTGAAACACCATAAAATTTGGAATCAGAAAACTGATTTCTAACCATGTGGCACTGGGCATGTTACTCATCTTTATTAAATACATCATTTAATACATTGAAATAATAATAATGATGATATTAATACTACCTTTCTTTTAAAGTTATAATAAGCATACAGTGAAGAAGAAAATACATGAAAACAATTTGAACTTGGTAAAGGACTGTATAGATATTGTTAGTTTTATTATTATCACAAAAATGTTTGTGGCTAATAAATGCATAATGATCTAATGGGGTTCACTATTAACTCATGCCAAATCCACAATGATAAGATCCCCAAATAACTTCACAGGGTTTACGGATTAGAGTGACTAGAGAACTCCTACAGAAAGCAGCAAAAGGATACTGTGCAGAGTACAAGAGCAAAATTATTTATTACAACTGAGCTCAGGTCATTTGATACTAGGTTATCTAGTAGTTAAGGTAAAAGAGAAGTGCATTGTTTGAATCAAAGAACAAAACATACTTGCTTCTTATATTTGAATCATTTAAACGAAAGGTCCCAAATTTTCTGGAAAATAACCTCTTTTCCACAAGTTTCATAAGACTAATCAGATGATTCTTATTGAAACTAGAAGCCTATAGTGAACAAATGAGGATTTTTATGATTAATCATTCAAATAGGTACAAAGAAGCTTGAAGAAAACAATTAATATATGATATTTAAAGTACCCAAAAGTACTAGAAACAGTACTAGAAAAATGCAAATATATGTCCTCTACAACTGGACATACCCAGCATAATTAAAGAAAAGAAGCAAATGTCTATAGAGGATATTGGTACTTATGAGAGGCAGTGACTTTGAAACTTTGGAAAATTTAGTGACATTAAAGGACTCTTTTGCACAAGTGGATCTTACTCAACACCTAATTACACTTCACTGCTCTCAGCAGGCCTGGGAGGATTCTTTTTACTCAGTTATTAACCACCACCTAACCACAATCTAAAATTGTAGAGCTCATTGCTATAGGAAGCATCATTTTATTTCTTGGTCACTAAAAACTAACCAGAGATATTGACAGGAATTGTTTGCAATATGATGGAGGAAAACAAAGCAAATATTACCTGAGTTAACAAAGTTGAACTCATTTTGTAAATTACTGGGGATTTTCCAACTTTGGGTGTTTTTCACATTAGTAGTAGTAATGCCAGCTAGTAATGGTATAGTGTCAAGACGGGTTAGTAATTGTATTAGCTGTTCTCATTTTAATAGTAGTTACAGAAACTATCATATTCATAATACTTGTCATTGTAGCTTATTTAAATATTATAATAATTGAAAAATCAGGAATTTTAACCATAGATATTTTATATTAGGATTTTATTTTCCATATTTTCCTTAATTCTTTTTGGGGAAAAAATTTGAAACTGCATTTGAATTTTGTCTGGAAAATTTCTGATGAAAGGAAGCAACAGCAGTCAATGGTTCCTATGATATGAAAACTGGGTTATATTGAGTGGAGAGTCATTTATTTCCAAATCTCTGTAGCAACAAGCAGGGACACATACAAACATATTATTTATTTTAAATACTAAGATTAATAGTTAAGTATCTGAAATCATTAGTGTTCCTGCATTTTGCAATTCTGGTTTTCTAAAAATTACTGCTGCTTTTCTTACAAAGTTATTTTAGAGAATTAGTTTTGTATTGATTTGAAATTATCTTTTGGCCTTGAATTTATTGCCCTCACTCCAAACAAAACTTCTCCAACTAGTACATGGAGAAAAGATACTATCAGATTCGGAAGGAAGGTTGGGCAATCTACTTCCATAGGATACCACCTGGGAAACGCAAGGAGGGGTCGCTATGAGTCAGGGCCAACTCCACGACACATAACAACAACAACAACATAGAGCTTTTCTGGGAGCTCTGGTGGCTCAGTGCCTAAGGCATTTGACTGCTAATCAGAAGATTGGCAGTTCAACCCCACCAGCTGCTCCAGGGAAGGAAATGGGGCATTCCACTTCCATAAAGATTTACCACCTTGGAAACCCAGTGGGGGTCACTATGAGTCAAAATCAACTCAACTGCACTGGGTTTGATTTGGGTTATAGAACTTTTCAAATTTTAAATTATTCAATGATGAAATTATAAATGCATTCTGGTGAGGATACAAAACCAAACTCACTGCCATCCAGCCAATTCTGACTCATAGCTACCCCTCCTTGGATTTCCAAGGTGGTGTCTCTATGGAAATAGATTGCCCAGTCTTTCTTCTGAGGAGTGGCTGGTGGGTTTGAACTGCCAGCCTTCTGGTTAGCAGTCAAATGCCTTGTGCACTACATCACGAGAGCTTCTGAGGATACAAGAAAACACTAAATCATAGAAAGAAACAAAACAAACTCACTGCCGTGGAGTTGATTCGGGCTCATAGTGACCCCTCCTTGGGTTTCCCAGGCAGTATCTCTAGGGAAGTAGATTGCCCAATCTTCCTTACAAGGAGTTGCTGGTGCGTTTGAACCTCTGGCCTTCTGGTCAGCAGTCAATTGCCTTAGGCACTATGCCACCAGAGCTCATAGGCCCTGAAAAATATAATTCATTTTATAATTTTTTAAAAATGTAATGTAGCACTTTGAACATTTAGAGGATGATTATGAAAATCTTGGACTAGAGAGACATGCAGTAAAAGCAGCAGTGTTATCACCACAAAATCTTTTAGTACACTTGGGCTATATGAAATTCTCAATGTACAAAAATTTTCCTAAGACATAAGAAACATTTCTTTTGAAAGATGTCATTTAACAAACGAAAAACAAAAATCAGTGACTGAAATACATGTTGAAAATTTTACTAGCTAAAAATAGGACTTTCAGTGTGAAGAATTACAGTTCAAATTTGCCTTTGATTAAAAAATAAATAAATAAAATGTAGTCAAAGAAAATAAGACATTGCCAGAAGAGAGAAACAAATAACCACAGATTTTATTCTGCAGTCACTTACCTATAAATCCGAATTTAGAATTTGAAATTATAAATAACACAATGTGAGATAACAAGTTTAACACTCTTGAGGTTTAAATACTTCAACATTTTATAAGAGGGTATTTATTTTTATTTTTTTAAATCTTGTTTTATTTTATTTATTCTTGTGAAAATAGAAAAAAAAAATATCTGTGGTGTCTTTAGATATCTAGTTCACTTATGATTCCCCACACATTATATTGCATTATTATAAATACATTGCTTTTGTGTTGATTTTGTAATTTTCTATACGTTCATTTGCTGAATTGTATATATCTTAGATTGATTATTGGAATTAGTTAGCATTCCCTGAGCTAACTTTCCTTTCCACCAACTAAAAACCTAAGAGGCAAGAACCCAGTATAGGATTAACAATTAATTGGTCATGGATAATTCACAAAGTAAATAAGCGCAGTGTGAGTAATTGAAAGTTGGTTAGAGTTGTAACATAAGAGCTACTGAAAGTTAATTCAAAGACAAAATCTTCCATAGTAAATTGTTTCTTATTATCCCACTGCTAGAAAAGTCAGTCATAGCTATCTCTCTAAATAGGAGGCAGTTGTACCTGTCAGTGTTTTGGCGTCTTATTTGCCAACACATAGACTTTATCTTCTTGATAAAGGATGTTAGTATTATAAAACCTTGAGCAATTTGAGAAATGTGGAAATTTCTCCATGGTTGTTTAGTCTCATTTCAACTTTCCAGAAAAGGATAAAAGTATTGTTTATATTTTAGTATTAAAGGTATGCTTGAGTGACTTCCAAAATCTTCTAAACTGAAATCTGAATGCAAGAAAATGGAAGTAGGACATGTATAACAGATTAGTGTTAAAATTTTGAGTGACTTCCAAAATCTTCTAAACTGAAATCTGAATGCAAGAAAATGTAAAAAGGACATGTATAACAGATTAGTGTTAAAATAGCAAGGTATTAATAGCGGCATATTGAATGTTCTAATTGCTTTTTATACTGTATGCATATTTTTTAGCTTACTAATCTCTTTAAAGTAATAGTTACTTTTTCCACAGTAAAAATAGCAAATTTTATAGATAATTGATTTACCAGTCTATAAGGGACTACCAAATCATGTGAAAATGTGTTATTTTATCCAGAACCAACTTCTGTTCATCAGCCATCCATTATTTTCCTAGTCCTGTGTACTATAATACTTTATTTTCAAATTCTATCTGTAGGCTTCTTTTCATATTTCTTCTTTTTCTAATTATAGGTTTTATATATACTGGAGAAGTTGTACATCGAATGCTAACAGCCACGCAGTACATAGCACCTCTAATGGCAAATTTTGATCCCAGTGTGTCCAGAAATTCAACAGTCAGATATTTTGATAATGGTATGTATTGGTTAGCCTTTTTTTTTTTTTTTTAATGGCTGTATACTTTGAAAGGAGCCTTTATGGTGCAGTAGTTAAGCATACACTTGTTCACCAAAATGTTGGTGGTTAGAACCTAACAGCCCTTCCGTGGGAGAAAGATGTAGTAGTCTGTTTCAATAAAGATTACAGCCTTGGAAACTCTATGGAGCAGTTCTACTCTGTCTTATACAGCTGCTATGAATCTTATAGAGCTATTATGAGTCACAGTGTATTTAGTGGCAACAGGTTTTAGGTTTTGGTGTACTTTAAAACATCAAATTCATATTATTTTGTGAACAGTTTTTGTTTTTTATTTTGATAGATTGGATTTGTAAGCTGCTTGATGCAGAGACCCTAAAATGGGAAATATTTTACTGTAACTGTTAATATGTGATGTAAAATCCATGGCTATATGCTATTCATTCATCCATTCATTTATTTATTCAACAAATGTTTATTAACACTTTTTTATTCTGCACTGTAGTAAATGAGTTGCTATAGACAACATCTTGTACAAAGCAAACATATTTATTTGATGCTATTTGCAATAAGAAGCTATGATGGCATGGCAGTTAAGGCATTCAGCTGCTAACCAGTAGGTCAGCAGTTTGAACCCATCAGCCACTCTGTAGGAGAAAGATCAAGCAGTCCTTTTCTGTAAAGATTTACAGGCTTGAAAACCCTATGGCACAGTTCTGCTCTATAGGGTCATTATGAGTTGGAATGGACTCAGTGGCAGCGGGTTTTGTTTTTTTTATTTTGGTTTATTCACAATAAGTCCTTCCTATTAAAAATATCTAAATGATAATTTTGTTACAGTCCACTTAAAACATGTTTTCCCTGACTTTGAAATAAGAAATAGAGTATGTATCAAGCATACTGACAACAGTCTATTTCTGCTATTTCCTTTGGGGATATATAAAATAGAGAAAACCTAGAACATGTCAGCAGCTACTATTAAAATGCAAGTAAGAAATTTAACTTCTTACAGACATAAACGATGTTTTCATGTCTACACCTTATTTAAGGTTTAAGCTTAATAGATAAAAGAAATTATAAGTAAAGTTTCCTTCAGAAAAGTTAATTAAAAATAAATTTTGGGGTACTTTTCACAATAAGAATTAGTATTTATTTACATAAGTGACAATTTCACCTTTGAAAGTAATAGAAACATTTGCCTTGAACAAAATTATTTCTTATGGTCAAAGGAGAAATTTACTAGTGAGTGGTATAGATTTGATAGTGGCAGCAGCCTTGGGGATATATCATCATTTTACTAAAAGCAATCTTCTGATCAGTATGATGAAGATATCTTATAGATTATAGAAGTGAAGAAAGAATAAAATTAAATAGACCCTGGGAAATAAATTTCAAACAATTTAATATAAACATGAGATCCTATGTTTGTTGTTGCTGTTGTAAGTTGCTGCTGAGTCCGTTATGACTCGTGGAGATCACCAGGGCTGTCTTTCTGGGTGCCTCTAGGTAGGTTCAAATTGTCAATCATTAGCTAGTAGTCGAGCACTTAATCATTTGTGTGATTCAGGGACCCTCGATGTTAGCCATAATAACTTCCCCCTGTTATTTTAATACTTCTTATACTTGGTCACCAACTTTCTTTCTTTCTTTCTTTCTTATTTAAATTAAAATTTAGTATGTGCTTAGGATCAAGGTTGTTCTAGTGCAATGTAAGTATACCTGTGGCAGAACGAGAGCCAGAAACTTCTTGGAAGTTTATTCCATGAAATCCCAATTCTAAATCACCTTCGGAATGTACCCTAAGTAAACTTGAAATGATTTGATAAAAATGGATTATTTTCCAAGCTTTATCACTTACTAAGTACTGGAGACATGTATTTAGGGAGCTCTGGTAGCATAGTGCCTAAGGCACTTGACTGCTAATCAGAAGGCTGGCAGTTCAAACCCACCAGCCACTCCTCGGAAGGAAGATGGGGCAATCTATTTCTGTAGTGATACTGCCTCAGAAACCCAAGGAGGGGTCGCTATGAGTCAGATCTGACTCAATGGCACATAACAACTACAACATTTAGATGCAGGATTCTGATAAACAAATTTTAATGTTATTAGCATCAAAATCTTAAAATATACTTAGTAAATATCCTCAATGACAATGTACTCTCTCATTAACACCTGTTCCTAGGTAGCTCTTTGAATTTTACATTTATCTGAGTGATTTTGTATTTTTTTTTTTTAACTAATATATATCACTCCAACTAGACTCCTGGTTCTTAGAAAGTACTAAGGCTATTTTTAAGAAATCATTTTATCTTTAATACCTGGCACAAAGTAGGCCCTCAGTAATTGTTCAAAGATTAAATAAATAAGAAGAGTATTTAATTCTGAGAATCGTCTAGGATTATTTCTCAAGAATTAATGTATTTTAACTCATTGAAATATCATCTGTAACAACTCTAGGAATATTGAGTTCCAGGAGGAGGTCTGGTAGCAAGAAGGAGCTCTGGCAGTATAGTGCCTAAGGCATTTGACTGCTAACCAGAAGTCTGGAGGTTCAAACCCACCAGCCACTTCTCGGAAGGAAGGTTGGGCAATCTACTTCTGTAGTGATACTGCCTCAGAAACCCAAGGAGGGGTCACTATGAGTTGGATCTGACTCAATGGCAGTGAGTTTGGTTTTTTTGGTTTTTAAAATATGATAATGAAAGTTGAATAATTGATTGTGTTTTATTAAATGAATATTGTAAGGCTTTCACAAAGTCCTCTTTATGCCATAGCAACTTCCTGAAATATTTTCAATTTTAATTGGATACAATCAGTGACAAAATGCTTAACAGTGAGGAATTCAACATTTTATGGAAATTACTCCAGAGAGAGGCAACTACAGGTTAGAAATTTTCTTCTAAGATAATTTATCTGTAATTAAAGCACTCGAATTTTAGAATGAGAAGATGCTTCTGTATGTTATACTGGCCTGGGTTTTATTAGCACAGAATATTAATGCATACACACACACACACACACACACACACATAAATGGTAACGTTAAAATAAGCCCTTTCCTAGAAAAATATTGTGATATCTCATAAATTGCAAATACGCTGAAAAGCCATTTCCTTCTGTTGTTGTTGTTGTTATGTGCCGTCGAGTCAGCCCTGACTCATATCCAATTCATAGCGACCCTGTTGGACAGTATAGAATTGCTCCCATAAGGTTTCTAAGGCTGTTAATCTTTAAGGAAGCCAGCCACCACATCTTTCTCCCATGGAGAAGCTACTGTGTTTGAACCACCAACCTTTCAGTTAGCAGGCAAATACTTAACCACTGTGCTTCCAGGGCTCCTTAAATTGCTAATAATAAAGTATAATTCTTGCCAATGATTAGAAATATGATCTATCAGAGAATCAAAAAATTTGGACTTGGCGACCTTGTAAAGCAGCATTTCAACCTATTTCTCTGCATTTTGGAAAAAAATAAATGGGTAATCAGATAATTTGATTGTGACTAAGTATGTACCCTGGTGAAGGGGATGAAAACAACTAGCACATAGAGTTGTGCGGTAACTCAGGTAGGCTGATATGTGTTTCTTAAAAATAGCTTTACCTCTGGCAGGATGAACTATGCTACTAGATTTTTGTGTCCATCCCCAGGATAAAGTATATGGCTATCAGTCATAAACCAGGATGGACCACACTAACCCAGGTCTTTGAAGTTGTAGATTCAGTTCTTTAGCCCATGGTTTTTTCTTGATAGCACATTCCCAGACATCACAGTTGTCTAAGGAAAGTACCTTCCTGTTGGACTTACCTAATTTTGCCCCATATTAAGCATTACCTGAAGAGAGATATTTTGAGTAAGAGACTGGTTAGAGAAATAAAATAAATAAATAAATATTAACATTTCCTTTTTAAAAGCCACTTCCACTAACCTGCGTACTATAAAGTTTTCATTTTTAGTAATTTTTAATAAAAAATGAAACCTGAACTATCAATTAATTTTTAAAAACCGTATAAATATACTTAGCTAATTTTAAAGTAGTGATAACATTTATACTAAATAATTTGAGTTGAAACTACATATTTGCCATTTTTACAAGTTTCCATTGAGTGGATTCCAAAGCACAACAACCCCGTGTTTGTCAGAATAGAACTGCACTTCATGGGGTTTCCATGGCTAATTTTTCAGAAGCCTTTCTTTTGAGGCTTCTTTGGGTAGACTCAAACTTCCAACCTTTTGGTTAGCAGGAGAGCATGTCAACTGTTTGCACTACCCAGGGACTCCCCGGTACTACATAACAGAAAAAGAAAACAAAAAACAAAAAAACCTCACTGCTGTCGAGTTGGATTCAACTCATAGAGACCTCTCCTTTGGATTTCTGAAGCACTATCACTACAGAAGTAGATTGCCCAATCTTCCTTCCAAGGAACCATTTAAATTCACAAATCTTGATGGGAGCTATGCTACTACATAATATAAAACTTCACATTTGCAAATTTCATAGCACTTGGATTAGGAATCACTTCAGCAAGATTTGCATCAAATAAAAACCTTACTTAATTCATCTATACCTCTCTCTTTTTCATAAAGAATTAGAGGTATTTTTGTCCTGTATGAACCCATTAAATGCATCAATAATTAAATAAATTGACATTATTTCATATTAAATGCAGAAATCCCTTGAAGGCAAGAATTATTACTCCCACTTTATGGGTGAGGAAACAGTTTCTCCAAGTTAGCTGTGTCCAAGATCACAAAGCAAGTATTAAAGGCTGGACGAGTCATCTTCTGTCTTGTTGTTGTTGTTATGTGCCATCGAGTCAGACCTGACTTATAGCGACCCCTCCTTGGGTTTCCGAGGCAGTATCACTACAGAAGTAGATTGTCCCATCCTCCTTCTGAGGAGTGTCCGGTGGATTTGAACCGTCAGCCTTCTGGTTAGCAGTCAGATAGATGCCTTAGGCACTATGCTACCAGAGCTCCTATCTTCTCTAGTGCAGGGTTTTCTCTGCACTACCACTATCTTTGATAGAAATTGGAGAATAAGGAAGAGACTGGAGCTTGAGATTTGTGAACATGTTTAAAGGACAAAGAGGTTTCTAAGAGACATTTTATGATCAGAAAACCCTCATACTACTACTATATCATTGCAAATTTCCTGGCTATTATTTTACTCTTGCTTTTTCCAATTTTTTTTTTTTTTTTTTAAGTAAAGACAAGGAAATGCCCATGGAAGGAAATGATCTGGCTCTTCACCCATAACAGTGGTATGTGTTAGGTATTTCCTGCAACTAAAAACACCAAGGTAACATTCAAAGCCAAATTGCTAGACTTCTAAAGTTTTATCTCAAAAAGAAATACGTTTCTGTCTTTTAACAACCTTTAAGGAGCCCTGGTGATGCAGTGGTTAAGCATTCACCTGCTAACCAAAAGGGCCACAGTTTGAACCCACCAGGAGCTCCTTGAGAGAAAAAGACGTGGTGATTTGCTTCTGTAAAGATCACAGCCTATGAAACCCTATGGGGCAGATCCACTTTGTCCCATGGGATCTGGATGGCTGTGAGCCGGAATTGATTGACAGCACACAACAACAGGGATTTACAATTTGGCATTAAAAATTTATTTGAAATAACATATCTATTTAATACTGTCAGCTAGCTCAAGAGATATTACCAGCAGTACAAAATCATTGCTTAAAATTTCTATACAATCTTGATTCATATATATATATATATATATATATATATATATATATATATATATGAATCAGGTTCTTAGTGAGTTGATGAATGGGTTTTGCTTTTTTAGTTCTGAAAGTTCCATTTTATGTACTTTTTTTTTCCATATATTTTTTTTTAACCAAACAGATAATCAGACACTTAGAGCTAAGCTAAAGTCTTAACTGCTCATTTCTTTTCTTTTTTAAAAAATTGCACAATATTAGTTAAAACAAAAATATGAATTCTTGCTAGTGGCTATTAGACTAGATTTCAATTTGTCATTCATGTTAACAGTTTTCTAGTAACACTGTTTTCTAGTAACCCTGGCAGTTTAAGTCATCAGAATATAATATACTGTACTGAAGATTCATTCCAATGTACTTCAAGGGGGCTTGAGAAATCTTAGCCCAGAGCCTATTAAGTTACCTTGCAGCCTCCTCGAAACAATACAACAAAGACAGAAATGCAGGCTTTGTGAATCAAAAAAGAAAATTCCATTAGTGCTAAGGGAACTTCTTCAGGGTGGAAAAGTATAATTCTAAGAAAGGATAAGACATTTTCAGGTCTTTTATAAGAGATTCTGGTTTTTCTGAACATGTTCCTTTCTCTCAGCATTTGTTAAACATGTTTGAAATTCGTCTTGAAAGTGGCTCATGGAGATTTAAGCAGTTAGTATCTGCAAACATTAAGGAAATTCCTAAGCCAACATTCCCCCACACTGGGCTCAGTATTAACCTCCTTATGAGGTTAGATTTTTCCAAATGGTTAGACAATACCCAATTCTTTAAAAAAAATAAATAAATACTTTTTCAGTAAAAAAACTGCAGTTTGACAGACAAAATCTAAATAGCACAACTCCTAAATCTGAAGGCCAGATCAGTTTTTATGATACTCTCACCAAAATTGGTCCGTATGTTTTTCTCATTGTATTTCTTCTTTTTCCAATGGTATTTTTAGGCACAGCACTTGTTGTCCAGTGGGACCATGTACATCTCCAGGATAATTACAACCTGGGAAGCTTCACATTCCAGGCAACCCTCCTCACTGATGGACGTATCATCTTTGGCTACAAAGAAGTAAGTGAAGTATTGATAATTTCCTTCACACTGACCTTGACTTTTATGTTTTTTCTCCAAGTTTCAAGAAAGGGATATCTTACAATCAGTAACCTCAAATATATATTTTTTAACTCCCTGCTCTCTTTTGCTTGATAATTTATTTTTCATTTTACTAATCTTCTGGATGGTACTTGTAGGTTGATTTTTAATTTGTTAACTTTTTCTTTTATTGTTCTAATATCATTGACATCATGGCCTATGAATTACATAAGATTACTGGGTAATTATATTCTAAAGGCATTTCTGTGAAATGTCTCCAATGAAAATGCTTCTACTTTGGAGAAATTTCTTACCTAAATCTTACTATTTATGTTTGTGTGTGCTTGTTTGTTTGTTTTTTGCCTTCTGAATCTTTCAGTCATGGTTTTGATTCCAAAAATATATATTAGTAGACATGAACACTTGTGTTTCCCAGTGACCCAATGCTGAAAGCATTTTAGGACAATGAGCCCAAAATCCCTTTGGGCAATATTATTGTAACCAGATAGGAAGGGCTAATTGGAGATAAAAATGACAGAAAGAATAAGGGATCTTAAACTTGTGGTTTGTTTCATCTTACTAAATTGACAAAGTAAATAATGCAGATTTACTAAATTGTAGCCTTAAATTTATAGGATGTTTAGACTAGACTAAGATAATTTTTGATTTTATACTATATTGACAATATAATTAAGGTCCATTAGACAACCTAAACTCTTGGGGAGGAAAACAAAACATAGGGATAAAATTCCAGGAATTTCAGAATGTGATGTAATGCCTATTGTGCTTGACTGTTAATCAGAAGGCTGGCGGTTCAAACCCAGCAGCCACTTATTGGAAGGAAGGTTGGGC